GTGCTCTCTTAGCTTGCCTTCGAAACCCAGTTTTTCTTTGTCCCGCTACCTGAATATTCCATTTACTAATCTTGGCCGTAGTTTTTGAGTTAGTTCGCATGAAGGTAGGCATATACACTTTTGTGAATCCTTCATCGTCCTTACTGTTTTTTCATAATCCCCGTTCTGCCATCGGTTTTTAACTGACCGTATGTTTCTTTGTATCCCTTCGCTAGGGTAGCCATTGCCGAGGAAGATCCTAGTCAATTTGTCCAACTCCTCGTCCCAGAATTCTACATCTGTTAAGGGCAGGCTTCAGATGATCATGTTCTTCATTATTTCAATCTTTAGCCTGTAATTGTGATGGTACCGGAAATAGAGTATTATCGCCGCATAGGACTTCTTTCTAAATAATTTCTTTTTGAGCGTCCCATTAGAGCGAATCACTTCAACCTCCAGAAACGGTAACCGCTCACCTTCCTCTACTTCAATCATGAATTGAATTCTTTCATCAATCTGGTTTACAAACTTCAGAAACTCTTCCAATTTTTCTCTTCCATGTGACTAAAGTGCGAAATAATCATTCAGGTACCGCATGAGCATTGCCGGTTGTAGCGATGCCATCTCGAACTTCTCCTCTATTTTGTTCATGTATACGTTTGCCATAAGTGATGAATGCGGCGATCCCACGGGAAGTCCAAATATTTGTTCATAGACGTTCCCGTTTAATGTAAAATAGGTTGTCTTTATTGTCAAGTTGATTAGTTTTGTTACCGACTCCCTACCGATCCGTTGTGATTCCAGGATATTCTCCTCTCGGTCCAGGATTTCCAGCAGGGCCGTTAGCGTATTTTCTCCAGAGATATTTGTATACATGGATTTCACATCGAAACTTACCTATAAGCCGATCTCTTCAAGTGCCATGTTTTTTATTTTTTGAGAAAATTTATATGAATGTTTCACCTTATTTGATATCCTCTCATTTAATTTCTTGAGTTCCAAACATACAAAACTTGTCTCTTTGACGAGTTATTTTGTGGTGCTAAGAATGGCGAGACTCACTGACGATGCCGGCGAAACGTCTGGGAATGTACCACGTCCATGGTCCTACTCTGGAAATGATAATGCATACAATGGACTCCGGACTAGGTGCGTTCCTCTAACTCTTCCTACCAATATGACCGAGTTGCGAAAACAAGGTAAAAGAACTTCTATACAAAACTTAGCTAATTTGTGTGTTGCTCCATACCTGCTGTTGACTACCAACCTTAGTGGGTCGCCTTATTTGTGTATGTTTGGTAATCCATATGCTGTTGGTGGTCGTGTATCCTTTCTAATGATTGAATTTCTTGTCCAGCGTCAATTTCATGGTCCATTTCGAAGAAACCAGTACAATTTTGTGGGCCTGGCAGTCAGGTAGCCGGGCTGACCAATAAGCAAATCGTCACGGAAATTCGGCGTTATGGTAAAAATGCACTAGAAATCCACTTGAGATGCCACATGCGATCAGAGATAGGCGTTTAAAATTTGCTCAGATAACATGGGTTTAATCAAGGAGACGATTCGTGAAGAGAAGGCCTGATCTCTGCAAGCATGGGAATCAGAGTTTAGGTGCTCTGTTCAGTGAAGCGGCAGTGTACGTGCTTCTAGGGCTTTGAGAAATAGCGCCTTGAAATGCACGCTGGGACTGGAACCGAGTGAAATCGGTCAAATAGAAAGGTAAGGAACGGATCTACGAGACAATGAGGGGGATCCGGATTGGACGCCCGAGTCGGATCAGCCCATAGAAAGAAATTGGTCGGGGTAAATAGCAAGTGTGATTAGGCCACACTAGATTCGCCACAAAAAGACACACATTTTTATGAGTGGAATGTAAACAAGTAAGTTGTGTTAGGGTGGCAATAGGATAAGAGAGTAAAGAGTAGATAGATAAGCCAGGACAGAAAGATGAGTTACAGTGTAACCGTTTTCGCAAGAACGTTTGTAGAGGGATTGACTTCACTTGTTTATTTGACGAGTTCGTAGCTTGGTGCGGAGAATGGCAGAACTCACTGATGATGCCGACTACGATGCCGGAGAAACGTTTGAGAATGTACCAAGTGCACTGTCTGATGCTGGGAATCAGGACAACTACTATGGCAGACGACTTCGGACTAGGTGCGTTATACTAAGTCACCCTGGTAACAAGATCAAATTGCGACAACGAGGCCAAACCACTTTTTTATTTTTCACATTTAAGTATTGTTTCGAGACTTCCAGTAAATTAGTAATATGAGATGTATTCACCCTATTTCATTTAAGATGATGAAGGAATAGTAGTAAAATCTTCCCACAATGCTATGAGTAGAGCTGAAGTTCTCATTGCATTTCACATAGTCTTGCTCTCCCAAAAGTTGTTCTCATCCAGGGAAGACTGCAGTTTCGACCGCGCATCGGTTTTAACAACACCCCCAGCTGGAGTCGAATCGTTAGAGTGCAGAATGGAAGCTTGATACGTTAACCACTCGGCCAAAATGCCACGAGTGCACTTGGGTAACAGGGCATAAGTGAATTTCAAGGAAGGCCAGGCCTCTTGCGATATCATATTCTACTATCAGTCCTTCATAATCTTTAACGAAATTGAATGAATACATCTTATATTACTGATTTACTGGTAGTCTCGAAACAATACTTAAGTGCGAAAAATAAAGTAACGTAGTCGATTGTTATAGAAAATATACATTTGCTTCATCGAGAATCCCACCAAAGAATATGATATTGCAAAAGGCCTGACATTCCTTAAAATTCACTTATGCCCTGTGACTTAAGGGCACTCGTGGCAATGTGTCTGAGTGGTTAATGTGTCAAGCTCCCATTCTGCACTGTCCCGGTTCGACTCCCGCTGGGGGTGTTGGTAAGACCGATGCCAGGTGGAGAATGCAGTCCACCCTGGACGAGAACAATTTTGGGGAAAGCAAGGCTATGTGAAATTAAATGGAAACGTCAGCTCTATTTACATCATTGCGGAGAAATTATTCTACCAGTCCTTCATAACTTTAAACAAAATTGGGTGAATACATCTCATATTATCAGATAACTGTAGGAGTTTCTAATAAGCACACTCCTTTAGAGAGATGCAATAACACCTAAAGCCTATGGCCTGCCCAAGATTCGCAGGGAACATGCCCCATTTAGGATTATCATAAATAATAAAGGTTCATTTATGCATAAAACACCGTGCACTACTTGTACACAATTAATGCCAAGCTCTTAATTGTGGGATGTTTTAAATGAATATTTCTATGAGTTTGTTAAGTTGGTGGGTGAATGGTCGATATAAGTGGTGATT